ACCGAGGAGGAGTGACGACGGCTCACCTATTATAGTATACAATACGAGGAATATAATATAGCTGGTAATGTTCTAAAAACGGTGTTTGTCGAACACGACGACGATGAGGGGCCAGGGCCGGCGTTATACAATTTTGACGGGGGGGTGAGATCAAGAATTTGCCGACTGAAATTTAATTTATGCCGACTCATAATTTCTTTAAAACATCATTACATCAACAATCACTTCTGCAACTGTATCCGGGGCCGACACAAGAAAAATCTGACGGAAGGGGAGGGGTGTCATACTAAAATTGCTGGCTCCAAGTATCTTTGCAGACTCGAAAAAAATTTAAAACCGGAGTAATAACAATGAATGTAATTTTAAAATAATTTTTTAATGTAAATCAAATATTACATAAGTACATATTATTATACATGGTTAGTCTAAAATTAAATCCAATATATATTAAGATATATGTATATCATTATTTATCATTATATTTATCAATTAGGTTTAGGTACCTATAGGCATATGATTTTTATTAAAATGTTAGTAAAGGTAAAAAGTAAATAATTAAATTAATAATTACACCAGGCATCAAGTTTTTATATTCTATACAATAATAATTATAATTAATCTAATAATTTATCAACTACTTTTTCATTTGTTGAAAATAATTTATTTGAAGTAAATTCTTTAGATAAAACATTAGAAGCAGATTGTATATACATAGTTGACTTTTCTTTAACAGAAGAAATCAATTCAATACTCATCGTTAAGAAATGAATGGGATTTGGAATATCATCATCATGCACTTTTTTAAGAAGCAATTTACATTCTTTTATAATTTGTACTAAAGATGAAAGTTTACCTACACAATCAATCCAAGATTCAGTGTTTTCACTATGATTATTAATATTTTTAGTATCAAGATCATTTTCATTTTTTTTACTGCTTAAAACGGCACAATCATCCTGTAAATTTAACAAAATTAAAAATTATAATTAAACTGTCTACTTAGAAACCTAGTTACTTAAGTGTTTTAAAATATTTTATTTTCCTAATTTATAACAACATTTTTTATAAAATGTATTGAAAAAATTATGATTTATACCAATTATTTTGTTTGGGTATTGTAAGAATTTTACCATAATATTAAAGTTATAAAATTAAACTATATAGTTGTCTAGCTATATGCCTATATGTATTATTAACTAAAAAATAAAAATAACTTACTTCTAATACATCCAAAAGATATTCTATAGTTTCACTAAAACAGTTTTCTTCTTCTGAAGTAGGTTGTAAGTAAGTTGTGCAAGTTGTGGTATTTTTGGTTACCTATTAATAAGAAATAATAGATATAAATTGAAAATATATACATTTATATAAAATAACAATATACATTATAATAAAAAAATCAATAATTAATATAAAAAATGTATATATTAATTATATATTATATTTTTTTATTAATTTCTAAAAAAAAGTTGATTTGCATACTTCTAATTGAATTGGATCTTTTTCAACAGATGTGCATGTATCAACATTATTTTCTTCAATGTTTTGAATATTTTCCATAGTAGAACTTGTGCTGGTTTTCTATCATTTGAAAAAATAAGTTAAATAAAAATACCATTTCTTATGCAGGTACTTAATTGAATACATTTAATTTTAAACTAACTTACAGTTGGTGAATATGCTCTATGTAAGTATTTTGAAGCTTCGAATGGATTTTCTGGTGCACCGAAATGCTTTACTGAAACTCGTTTTCCATTATGTTGCTGACGTTCATGTTTAGCACGATAATCTTTATTAAATACACCACCACACTTAAGGCACTCAAGTTTAATTCTTTTTCTTTTATTTTCCATTAGAAATTGAAATTAAAAGTGAAAATTATAATAATATAAACCTACTCACACACAGACGACAGTCAATAGAACGTGTATTGTGAAATGATTGGTGATGTGCAGTACTGCAGTAGACGGTAGACAGTAGTGTAATACTGTAGTAGTGTAGTGGATGGATGCACGCCGCACGGGATACGGGAAAATGTTTATCAGTTTATACCAACAGTTTTAAAAATAGATATGGGCTATTCCACGGCTATAGTAGGTATCTGTAGTCGTGGCTATTCTAGATGTACATATTTTATTTATATCAATAATCAATTTGCCATTTGCCAACTGATATCGGAACTATTTATATTTTATATTTTATAATTGGAATGTTTTTAAAAGATATTTAATTTTTATTTGTAAATACAACAAATAGGTTATTTTATCTAAAAAATTCCGTATGCCGAAAGTGCCGACTTTCATTACGATTATTCGATGGCGGGGTGTCACGACCCCCAATACCCCACTTGCCTCCGGCCCTGTGAGGGGCGCGAACGATTCGGGAGAAAAAACATCACTAAATCACATATTATCATACCTACGTGCGGACAGAGTTTTGGAAACGAAATTCCGGTGTGTATATTATGTAGGTGGGTTATGGATATAGGTATGTGTGTACAATTTGGTGGGACGTCGACGATCGGGTGTCCTTAGAAAAAACACAAAACGGCGCTCTGCACATATCATAATCATACATATATAATGATATCACGTCGTGCAGTACATCACACAATGGTGCAACAGCGCGTATGCCTAGATAATATACATAACGCGTATAATATTATATTATTATAATAATACATTATATTATTGTTATTATACCGGCACGCATATATTATTATTATTATTATTTTCTCTCGGTCGGTCGTTTTTTCGTCGTGTTTTTCACTATTATTGCGGGTTAATGATAGCCGCCGCATATGCAGTATTATAACGACCGACTGTAGACTCGCTTGTGTTTGTGTGGTGGTCAGCCAGGTGTAAAGAGTCAGCGCCATCATCAAGAGTATAATATAAGGTATAACCTGGTATACTGCAGTGTGCTATCTCGTCCATGACTATATGCCACCATAAAATATAAATCCTTGACGGCGGCGGCAAAGTGTTTTCCACGGGCGGCGTGTGCGTGCGTGCGTGGAAAACGACAACTCGGTCGTGGTATATAATAATAATAATATTTAAGGCTGTGTACATCATCGGGGGCCGAAGTCCGGCGGGACTCTATGTAAATAATATACTATATACATAGCAAGCTGCAGAGAAACGGTGTATGTCTGCGGTGTGTACATATACTATTGGTACAACAATATAATATGTACGCGTTTGCCGGAGCAAATGTATTACAGTGTTTCACTTTCTACACTTGAAAATTACTCAATGTCCGGTTAATATATATTATATTAATTAATAATTAATGAGAGGGCCGTTAAATCGTATACCGCGGCGCATATAGACAACGCGAAGCACGTTATGTATATACCTATTATACCTATATATACATATAAGATGTGATATCTATGTGCGCATTATTCCGATATTAAACATACACCGACGAGCGCAGGTTTATGCATATTATGCCGGATTATTGCACGAGGCTATATTATTGTTGTTTTGTCCAAAGAAATAGAACGACCGATGTAGCAATAATAATAATAGATCATACCAATGCGTGTTCCTGACTGTAGTATACCAATAGTACACGTCGAATACAGTTGTTTATAAGTATAATAATTATTGTATGTCGGCCTGATGGGAGGAATATTACGAGGGAGTATAGGACTGGAGCTTGGGCAACGCGAGCGCCACTGTAACGGGTGAAATTTCATAATAGTAAAAATATATTATATTTTCGCAGTTTTCCGGCGCCATATCTAAATATTAAGTAGTTTTCGAAACGTATTTTGGCACCCAACTAATATAATATTATTACAACCACGTCGTTCTGAATGGCTCATGTACGTACTATATTATATGGTATGTATATTTATATAAGTTGCATAATGCCTTTGGTTATAATATTATATATTGTTTGAGCATTACGTAAAATGAAGAAAAACAATACTATTTTGATACTTTGAGTGTATGATATAATATTCTATATGTTAGAAGCCAGAAGGGGTATCTTATAATTATATGTTTTATTTATCGTGGGCACTCATAATGGGATACCTGCTTAAATATTTAGAACTTAAAATTGAAGTATATGGCTTTTATAGCTATATATTATTATAGATTAAAATGATTGTATTAACAATTAATTTGAAGTAAGTATAAACAACCCGTTGTTGTGCTTAATGTTTTTGAAAACAAAGATAATTTTTAATGAACATTTAAGTGTTTCGGGAAAAAAGTAGACTTAATAATATATAATAATATGCCTATGCTACACTAAGCCTGCAAATCGTATATATATTATACAATCTACAGGTCGGACCTATGAAATGCGCGAATCGCAATAAAAATAATAAGTGCAGTTTTACTGTTATAGCCGAGACCCGATAAAAACGGACATATATTAGGGGATAGGTCTGTACCATATTACATGCCTATTATAAAATATTATTAGATTAGCCACTGGGACAGTTCAATGGCAATTATCGCATACTACGACGAACAGACAAATCAGATACCGAAAAAAAGTCTCGAGAGATCGTTGCAGTCGTTATAGACGTATACCGAAAAGCGATTTAAGCATTGATTAACTCCGTCAATGACGGATATCATCTATATATGAAACTGCAGTTTTTGTTACAATAAGGTGGCGTGGTCTTAGCTAGTTTTCGAAAAGCGTATGCGATAAACGCCCTGGAAAAACTCTGTATGCCCACTGGAAAGCGCACATTCTTCCCTCTGACATTAAAAGAAAAGTGTTCTTATTTAGGGGGTGCTGCAAATAATTATTTTACGTACTTATATAATGTGTCACTTGTTGTTTTTTGCAAAATAAATATTATTATTATTATTATTATATTATTATTATTATTGAAATCGTAGGAGGGAAATAAAAAAAGAAAAATCACCGAAATTTGATTAGGTACACCAATTAAACGTGGAAATATCAATTTTCCCAGTGTGATATTAGCAATTATCAGTAAGTATACAGTGGTCGACAGGACTTACCGTGCGACGACGTCGGCGGAGGCGGCGCGAACGGAGAGTGGATCTGCTGGTGATAGTAGCGGGCGGTGACGGTGAGCGATTCGCGGTGATACGGCGCTGCTGCAGCGGCCGTGGCCGCCGCCGCCGCTCGGTGATGATGGTAGTCCCTGGCCGCGGGGTGAGCGTCCAGCGCGCTTACGTGGTGATGGGCGAAGAACGAGTTCATGTGGTCCGACATGTTGTCGGCCACCAGCGGCTCGTCCCGGCACGACGACGACGACCCGGCCGGCGTCTCGTACCAGCTCCGGTGATGCGGGTGATGGTGGTGGTGATGATGAGCCCCGGCACCGCCGACCACTTCCATGCCGGCAGCCATTTCCATGCCGCTATAAAGCGCTCGAGCGGCTGTGTCACGCTGAAAATCGAAAGACAACAAAATCAATTTTAATTTATTTGCATTGGTGAAATAAACACCCTAAAATGTTATCCTTAGAACGGTGTCTGGGTTTTACCCAGTCGGCGAACCCGTGATCCGACATACCTATGATCGTTATATAATATGATATTTCGTATGATAAAAACCCGTCGAAACGCTATTCTGCGAACTGATCTCGAGTGCTCGAAGAAAATTATAATATTATTTTTCTCGTTAAATTCTCATAATGGTTTTTGAACTTCGATTCCAATAATGGTTCGTTCCCAGAAGTCTAATTTTAGCTTTTATTAATATTCTGATTCGTTTCGTCGAAATGAGCCGGAGAATTTCAGAAAAATAATTGATAATATCCCAACCAAAACACACCGATATGGCAAAAGCGAAACTAATTTTCAGGTAAGTAAAACGAAGGTTCATAACTCAAACAGCTTATTTATAATGTCAATAACATTATCGACGACGTATATTCAAAAGCAGAGACTCTCTGCAGTCTTATGTGCTCGCGGTAGGTAGGGCATACGTGTATAATATCTTAAAAAAGTGGAATATTAGAATAGTGTGCGTGCACCGGACCATCGGATGGACCCACCCACACACCTACATTGGTAATAAATACTAAAATATCTAAATAATTATTATGAAAACGAAAATAGCTAATCAAATATGCACGTTTTACCGCAAATTACCGGAAATTCGGTGGTTTACTGACACAGGAACGGCGCGCGGCGGCGGATAGTAAAATTCAGCTTTCCCCACAAATTTCTACATGCACATATACGAGTGGAAAAAAAAATAATAACTAACACGCGTTTTGATTATACCTATTTACACGCGATTTAAAATTTAAAACGGCCGTTCCATTTACTCGCTCGCGGTTATCCATATAGTATAGTACAGGTACCTATTATACAGTACCTATCTTAACGAGATCAGCTGATAACGTAATTATTACAATTAACCGCGACCAGTGGAGTTCGTCGTAATTATAATTTTCATTTTCGTATTGGCGTAGGCGCTCGCTTGTACACTCTGCCCCCAAAGCTCTGCACAGGACGTGTTCAACGCCTCGCTCGACCGAATACTGCGCACACGCCAAAGGAAAGTGTTTTTTTAGCAATAAATTGACGGTAAAATATAATATATATAAATTATTATCTGGGCACCTTCGTATAAATTGGCGTTTTTACTTTCCGTCGGTGTAATAATAATATAGATCACAGGAGTATATTGCAGACGAATTATAACGATTATGGTGGTCATAAACGCGCGACGATTTTCACGCGTTTTCTAAAAAGTGCGGAAAACGCTCGATTTCCAACGAATAAAACGTATACCATCCACTACCATGGTTACAGTGCCTCCAATATAATAATATTATGTAGTATAAACAGACAGTCACCAAAATTGTATACGAAATCATCAAAGTCCTATGTAGAACTCAGCGGTTCTACAACAATAATATTGTGGTACGCGTACCGCTGATGGTACGCAGAAGGCTACCTGTTGGTTGGCCATGGTGATGCGGTACTACGGGAAATCAATAGGATATTATAGTTTTACTTGTATAATCGTGTTTGCAACGGATTTATTATTATATTATGTTTTGTGGAAATATACCTAACTTTTACGTACCAAAATTATTGTTTTATAAATGTTAAAATATATGTATTGAAATTTTGAACAGTTCCATGTTTAGTCATAAGTGGTACTAATCACTTCGCGATCAACAAAACACACGATATAGTGGTACGCAAAACAAACATTTTGAAACTCTCTGCCTCATATAGATAATATTACATTTCACCCACGAGCAAATCCGGGATAATTATTATTATATTATTATAAAATATAAAACCTATATTAAATTTGCTTCACCACGTCCGAGGGTCATATTATACGTCCCGTTTATACCATATTATATTATATAATATGCGATGCGCATGTTATACACCTTGTGCTAATAATAGCTGCTGTGAAGTAAATTAACTTGTACGCGAAATTACGTAAATCGCATTTATTTATTATATTATGCGCCTATATAGGTATATAATATTATAGTATTATTATAAGTGTATAATAACCTATGTAAGTTTTGCGTGTGTGAGCGTGTACCTGCGAACACTAGAACATTAATCATTGCGCGTGTTTGGAATTCAAGGTGCCCATTGTTCGATGGGAAAACAGTGGGAAAGACGATAAAACACACGATTTTCAACGCAAGAAAAAAAATAATAAAAAAATTCGCCGCTACGTATTTTAATTGGAAAACAACAGGCGCCCGAACGTTGACAATGATGAGAGCACGTACATAATATAATATACCTAATAATAATAATAGTAATAGTAATACTAAATGCGTCGTGGCAGTATAGGTACTTATATTATATTATTATCATTATATTGGTACGATAATGGGTGCCGTACTTTTACTAACAGCACCTCCACTATACAAAAATATTATATTAATATTATAATATGTTTGCTGATAATATTATTCGAAAAACCTATCTAGTTAGCCACATAACAATTTCGATTTCAGCAGCTCTATATATTGTGATATAATATTTTCGCTATTCTAATTATCATCAAACAAGTTCGTGCCCAAACTTTCGACCATGCTCAATTAATAATATATAGGTACGTATTGGGTCTATATATAATAATATTATTATATATAGGTATGTATTGGGTCTATATATAATAATATTATTATGTACCTACTAGAGAAAATTATTTTCTATCGTTATCGTTATTGTTGAGCGTTGTTATATTAAAAGCAATAAAGTACGGTGCAAATATAATATATAAAAAATAGGTAGGTAGGTACTTACGTATAAAACAATATAGGTAGGTATACAAGTATATATAGGTACACGACGATACCGCGGTATACAAGCTCGCGATTGTTAGCGTATTATATATTATATCGTAGGGCTCACATTTTTACATAATACACACACTTAGGTATATGTATATCGATCGCAATAATATTATAGTAGTGTATAGTACATATATCTACCTACCTACCTACCTATGTGTACTAGAGGGGCTGCTGCAGATATCCATATAGTCCGAAATAAAAATAAATAGGCATATATTATTATAGGTATAACCCTAGGGGTATAATATAAGATAAACCTGATCGGAACAAAGATATTGCGGATATTTATGGAGGTCTTTTGCAATTTATTCTAAATACCGTATACAGCGTGCACGCTAAGTGGGCTAATCTTCTTTCCACATAAGGACAGACACCTGTAGCCACTATTGTTGGGGACACTCGGCGTATTATATTATATTATTATATACAAGCTGCAGCAGTTGTACTCCTACGATGTTGCATTTATACATACATATTATTATATATATTAGGTATAAACATATTATTATTATTATATATATTATATAGGTACGCAAAACGGGAGGTAATTGGCTGCTGCTGCACCCCGAACACATGTACTCCATACTTATATACATACATATATAATATATATATATATATATATATATATATATATATAGCCATATAGGTACCGTACTCGCGGAGATTTGCCATATATAATATTATGTGGATGTCACCAATAAACAGTTGTTATGACGTAGGGGGCAAGCTATTATATACATGAAAAGCATCGACGCTACATGGGGCAAATACTTATTATATTATACACGGTTGTTGGTTATATACTTATATATATGTGTGTGTGTGTGTGTATGATATTGCATAAAATGTATTATACAGAGTTTAATTTTGAGGGACCACCGCTGTGAATAATTGTGATACGAGTCAATATATATATATATATATAGGTAGGTACGATTGGTACAATCTGTATAATACCTATGTATTATATTATATATGTATATCTAAATAGGTAAAGACTATAAAAAGCGTAAACGTTTACAACAAAAGCCGTTCGATAGAAAGAAAAAAAACATTTTTATTGAATATAATACAGATATCTACCTGTCTATAAATTTTAATTCGACAAACATATTATTATTAGACGAGAATGGTATAGCTCATTTGAATAAAGATCGATTCTAGATCCATAACAAATATTAAGGAATAATGTAGAAGTTATTGTCTTTCTTGTTTCAAAAAAAAAATACAGACGTATATTTAATTAAATAGGTAAGTACTTACTTATATGTATGTATGAATATACCATAATCAAATGAGAATTTAAATTTGAACGAATATTATGGAAATTATATACAATCGTATATTATGTAATTAGCTAATGTAATTATATTTGTTCTTATAAATTGGTAGGTATATGAGATATATAACTACTCGTATAACTATATCTTAGATATAACAATATAATCTCTTACATTTTAAAATAACCAAGTTTGTTGAATCTATAGGTACTACTTTTTATTGACATGATTATATGATACATGATTTATGACATGATTGAACAAAATAAATAGATTTTGAAAACTCGGTAGATATATTAAATTACAATATTATTAGTAAAATTCTGAATAGGTGTGTGCGTACTAAATTCAAATTCGAATGATTAATTATAAGAATTTCAATAATTATATTCAGTAAAATAGTTATGATGTATATTATATTGTTATTTTTAAAGTTAATATTAAGATGATCCCATTAAAAGTATTATTACTGTATACCTACACCTTTAGTGTAATTTAAATGTAAGTATTACATAATATAACATTAATATTATTTAATGCCTACATTGAATGCTAAATAATTAAAAAATATTTGATATAACTTTAGGAACATAATATGTATATTATACTATATTATAGTATATTATACTGAATTTCATTTATTTTTGTGTTCTGTTTTATAATTTAAAAGTTCAGCAAGATGTTAAATTATGTTTTAGATGCTATAAAAAAAATTCATGAAAACATGCGTGCTGTATTGGAAGTTTTTATTTAATTAAAAAACGTACGTTTTACAGCAAAAA